TATCCTTTTAACAAAATAACATGGAGTTTTCTTCATTTCTGGGATTTTGTTTTTAGGAAGCAGTTCTTGCTAACTCGGAAAGTTCATCGGATTCTCCTCCTAAACGAGTCAGACACGGTAGGATTCTTACCAGTTATATCTGTACAACTTTACCGTTGTTTCATCCTGGGAAGCTTAAGGCTCGGCATTTTTCGAGTTTTTCATTCGCCCTCGGGGACGTTTGTGACCGAGAAAACCACGACTGCCGGCAGTTTGGATTTAAACAATTTGGTGCAATGTCTTTTCCTGAAACTACTAAAAATGAATTTTAATTAAGTAGAGAGTAGGTTCTGTTAGTGAAAAATATGGGAGAGGATGAAGAAAATTGTTTATCAACTTGAAGTTGAAACGCCTGGTTGAAACGATGAAATTAAAGACCGCCGTTTGAGGCAATCGGCCGCGCGATAGTTTATTCCTCACTACTTCGCTCTCTTATCCGCCATGGCGCTATCGTCTTTTGACTGTTCTAGTCGCACGTGAAAAGGAATACAATTCGAGCTGCGAACTCAGTTCAAACATCGAGTTCCAAAAATTACGTCAAAAAAGCGCTTTTGATCGATTAGAAGATATATCTGTGTCGATAAAGACAGAAACAAGCAAATTAGGTAAAATGAAAAAGCGGCGTTTTAGATCGGTTTGCAGATATATCTGTTTCGAAAAAGACGAACAAGCAAATTGGGTGAAATAATTATTTTTTAATTTCATGGGTTTACGTGTGCCTAGTGGTTGAAGATCGAGAGTTAACCCTTCTTCGGAAGAAAAAAGCAATTTCTGTATTCTTGTGATTGCACTGGAACTGCAATCTTGGAGAAAACTCTTAAACACTGAACTAAATTTCTACCAACTGCGCTGTCACGGTTGAAAGTACTAGTAGCCAGTGGCTTATTCGTCCAATCCCCTCTTTAGTATTAACTCTGAACAGGGATGGCGCACCTGGAAGCTCTCTGGAATAAAACGTGTGAAGAAGAAAGAGTTTTGACCATCTTGTGAGCTTAGAGATTCATTTTGAAACTGAACCGCTCAGCTCACAAGGTGGAAAAAAACACCTGACCAGGAATAAGATAGACAGAGATAGATAGACAGTTCATTGAAGCTCTAAAATCACAGCTCTAGAGCTGAAGTAGATAAAACTTTACAAAACAATTCAAATGATAAGACTGTGCTAAAATGTGATCTATGAAAAAGCACCAAATAAAATCATCTATATACGATTGCTTTAGAAAAAGCTATTCTTTAGTTTGTTCTTTTTGCAATTAGGAATGTGATATCTCCGATTATTTTTCGGATTAAAACTACACGGTTGGCTCTGGTAATAATAATGTCTAATTTGTGTTCAGGATTATTTCTGATGCCCCGAAACATTCTGACTGTTTGGGACTGTCTCTGATTAAAAAGTGTCTCTAGACTAGCGAGTCCTAGTGCCTCGCGATATAGGTGGCATGTGGGAAGATAATTCTTATCGCGCGCCTCTGTAAGCTCTTAGCTTGTCTAACAGGTAGCCTGCAAGTGCATTGTGATAAATTGGAGAAGCGTACTCTATGCATGCATGTATGCATGTATATTGTGTAGAAAGGCTTGAAGTCCAAAAGGTGGGACAAGAAGGTTCCCACTGGAGAGAGACTGTAAAGGCCTTCTACGTCCCATGACCTGACAAGGATTACTGACCTTACAGTTTATTGAAAAATGTGCAACATGCGCAAGACATCTGCTTGTCCCTGCTAGTTTTGTCTAAGATTGTACCTTGCAATGGAGGCTACTGGACCCTACTGCGTGGAAATATCATTAAATACAACTTTCAATACATCAGAATTTGCCAGTACAGTACAGAATTTGTCTGCTTGGAAAAAATCCTGCGCATTAGCCCTTAGCAAACTGGATCCAGGGAATACGAATTTAGCCTATTTTGGACTATTTAAATTTAAGGCAATGGTATGTAACAGATTGGACCACCCGAACCGCGTTTGTTTGCTTGTTTGTTTGCCCATTTTGTTGTTTGTTTGCTCATTGATATGTTTGTTTTCAGGCACGTACGGTAACCGACAAGTGCTGAGTGTTGAAACAAATGGACCATTTACACACGTGTTTGACTTTTAATGTAAAGCTATGCCATTTATGAAGCTATCATCTTTATGTAATTATAACCTCACGGTTTTCTTTTTCCTTGAGTTGTTTTATTTCATGGTGATGTGACATGATGTAACAGAATTCCCATTTCAAGTCTGATGCAGATGAAAAACAGCTAACTAGCATCCATAATAATGATTCACTTCAGAATCTTCAAGTTGCCCTAGATACAAACCAAATAATAACAAGTCGAAAGAAGCAAAAACTCCAAGACGGCTACTGTGGTGTGTTGTCGAATAGGTTTATTCTGCTTGTTCATACATACCGCGTGGATGTGTGTGCTTTCTAGATTTACATAATGTGCTATCCTACTTAAATATGCGTACACAAAATATAATATACAATAGGTGCTAATTCTCACGTGCCAATATGTTACAGCTACCGTACCATTAACCCTTTGAATACCAAATACGCATATATGTGTAATTAATGGTCGTGCTCTTTTTACCACTTGTGACGTCATCAAATTAAATGTCATCAGATATTCTTGATAAGCGGATAATAGTACTATGCTAGGCCTTTCCGTACAATGGTCAGGTTTAGATATCGACGACATTCCGACGTCTCAAGTCGAAAAACAACGTTATCAGTTTTGGTGCAAAAACGGTGGTAAATTTTGGCTTATGCGCATGTCCGGAATTGAAATATTGCTCAATTTTGTACCTAATCCTCGAAAAACCTCTCCTTTTCGTTAAAAAAAAAAAAGTTTTCTTAGCACAACTTAGGCTTATTTAGCGTCATGGCAGCTAAAAAGCCTGACTAAACGGTTCAAAACGGAATTTTTCGGCGAAAGTTTGGTATTCAAAGGGTCAAGACCTGGACTTTAGACTGGCCACCTTCGCCGCCCTTTTTGCCCTAGCCACCCTGACCACCCCAGCCATCCTTGAAACCCTTGTAACCCTTGCTTTCCCCGCCAGCTTTGCATCTCTCCGCACGCTCTACCCCACGCCAGCCTCGCCACATTCGCCATCCTAGGCACCCCTGCTACCCTGACAACCCTTGCAATCTTTGCAACCATGGCGAACCGTTGCCACCCTCGCCACACTTGCGATCCTCTCCCTCCTTGCAACTCTCGCAACCCTTGCTACGCCCGCCACCCTTCCCACTCTCGTCACTCTTTCCACCCTTGCAACTCTCGCCACCTTTGCCCTCCCTGGCCCTACTCACCACCCTGCTAGACTAAGTCTCGCCACGCTCACCATCCTTGCCACCCTTTCCATCCTGGTCAACCTAGCTAATCTTGCCACCCAAGGCACTCTTACAACCCTTGCAACCTTTCCAGCCCATAGCACCTTCGCTACCCATTCTGGATAAAACGTCAATAGAACGTCAAATGATTTGGTAGACTGTATGGAAGCTCCGTTTGAAGTGCGGTACATGTCAACTATCATATATGAAGAGTGGTACGTAACAATTATCATATATGAAGAGCTTGCCCAAGGGATAAGAATTCAACATGGCGCAGGAGGGTACTGCATGACCCTAGAATTAGCTCGTCTTTGATTCATATACAGGTCATTTTTCAGCCAATGTTTAGGAGCGAAGTTTTGTCATTATATCGCCGAATATTTCGATTAGCCCGGCAATGGCAAGCCACAACAACAGCAGATACTGAAGCTGAAAGACAATACATTCGAGACGAAGCAAGGAAATTGTTCCACAAAAACAAGAAAGTGAGTTTATAATTTTTTTTTTCTTTACTTATTCTAATTAAGTTTATTACAAGTGCAGTGCATCCACATAATGTTACTTAAAAATCATCCGATTTTTTCTCTGCCCTTTCGCAAAAAAGCTGACTGTCCTCCGAAGTTCCTAGTGCGGAAACGTTCAAAGCCGTTCCGGGACTTTTGTCAGTAGGGGTGGGGTGGAGAGGCTGCAGTATGAGGTTGCAATGGAATGGCCCTTAGCTTTCAATCTCGTTTCTAAATTTGCAGGTTACCAATCCAGAGGAGATAAAGCTGTGTATTCATGAAGCCAATGCTCGAATTGAGATTGGTATGTGCGCTTACAGTCTTCTATTTTGATGGTTTACTGAAGAATTAGACCCCCACCCCCGGAATAAAGCACTTAATTTACGTGTCTTTATACAGTCTTAGCCACAGCATTTTGCTCCAGAGATGGTGTAGCAAGAGAAAACTTGTGTTGCAGGCCAAACAATGAAAAGAAATGCCACAATTTTTACTAGGGTATAAAAACATGGAAACTGAAGTTCTATTTCTTCCGTAAGCTACTTTAGGTTAAAAATGCAATGGAGTGTGGTCACAATGGATTTCTAACATAATTGAAAACAAAGGGAATGCTATTTCTTTGCTACATGGTAGTCTGCTGATCAAAATTCATTAAATAGTGTAAAGATCCTGCCATATTTCACTCCCCTCCCCCCCAACCCCCCCAAAAAAGAAACTGGCTGCCGACAGGATCGAAACAAACTTTTCAAGAGCTCTTTGCAGTGTTAAGAATCTCCTTTACAGTCCTCTGCTCCTCTTCATTTAGGGAATTAATTCTAATTTCTGTATGGGTCAAGCTTTCTCCTAGCTTTCTCCTATTTTGCAACATTGAAATAAATGCGGTTTTGCATTAGCAATTCACCACTGAAACAAAGCACTTGCTCACAAAATCCCACCAGCTACCCAGGCTGAAATTTTATATATTCTTTTTCTCTATTTCAGCCCTTCACTATAGGACACCTTATCCTAGAATGGTAAGCCTTTTAGTATCAAGGGAGCAAAAAACATGCAAAAGTGTATTGTTATGTTACACAAGCATGTGAAAATTTTAAGAACACAAGACAAATGCTTTTCACAAATATCTGAGTATTCTTAAAATTCACGATTTCTTATAACTCAACAATACATAAGCAAGTTTGCTATTTCCTTTATTGAGTACATAAAATGTTCTAGAAATGGGAAATAATGTACACTAAAATTCGGTTTCTGCTTCTTTGTTAATATATAGATACATATGCCACCTTCAGCTGTGCCAAAAACAAGTACAAAACAAAGGAAGACTCAAGAGCGCATCAGAAAACAGGCCAAACCTGTTTACATGCACTCTGACGATGACATTGATAAATGAAAGGCTTTATGGGTTGGGGTGCATTTACACATGCAGAATGCTGACATAGTGCTATTCTTGTCTGAGATTCAAGGCTTTTAATAAGTGGTACTGTTATGCTGTATGCATGGATGGATGGACAGCTAAATGGCCGGATGCACCAATGGATCGACAAATGGAGGGAAAGACTAAACTGACTGACTTATTAACATTCTCAGTGGTAAACCAATTGATTGGTTGTAAGATTGTGTGATTAAGAGAATGAAATTATTTCATTCTCTTTACTCAGTCTAGCATACTCATTTTGGGTTAAAAATCAAAACAACACTCAGTAAAGTACTGTGCAATTCTAAAATGTTTTATTCACCTTTAATTCTATTTACACACTAAAAATAAAAAAATACTTTGCAAACTGCACAATAATTCAAATCCATACTATCCTAGCATGTTTAAGAGTTCACTTTTTGTACAAATAGTCACATAACTATTCAAGTGGCATTGCCTGTTATTTAACATAAGATACACAGGTATAATGTGGCTCACCCTGGCATTAATTTCTGGCAACTGAACTGAACTTTAGTCATTGAATTCAATATGATGCGAGTGTCACTAGCAAAAAACCATAATGATAATGCAATCTCACTGACAAAAAGTAGTAAATTGGTATTTCTAGTATAGGCATTGGAAGTATTGTTTTATGAAATTCTTGGCACAACTTTGTCTTGGGTTCTATAAGTGTTATTGGAGCCACTTTAAATAATTTTTGTAACAAACATAAAAAGGAAAAAATAGACTGAAGAGTGATGCTTATTTAGACATAATTTTGAGATATACATGTACAATGTGGTCTTGGAATTGTCAAAAGTAAATAAATACTAGGAAGTAAATCAGGGTAATGGTCATTAAAGCTAAACAAGATTGAGTTGTTATCTTAACAGAAGCTCAATAAATATAGCTTATTCACTGACAGTGTGCAAGGGACGTACTGTCATAATCTCAGCCCTTGGTCTTTTCTATACAGACCTGCTGTGCTTTATCCATACTTTTAAGACCAAGAGGTGACAGTCTTCTAGTTTAGTCCTGAGTAAGCATACCAGTCAATAACAGATTTATTACATGGCTTGCCCCAGGCATTGTCTAAGTTTGCTATTTTTTTTATCTAGATGGCAGACGACTTGCCTGGGCCATTGCCATTGGGCAAGTGAGATTGAAAGGTTACTTGCCCAAAAGGAAAATGTAGTTGTCCGAGACAAATTTCTGGCACTTTTTTTGAGCCCTGAATCAATATTTCAATGTCACTGAACTGGCATAATTAAAGAAAATGGGAGAAACATTTAACATTTACCAAGGCAGACATAATGCACATGTAATTGTATAACATCTTTTTTCCTCACAAAAGATTAAAAATTAATATTTCACACATCTAACTAGTGTTCAAAATATCATTGCACTTTATTAAAAATTTCTTTTTGTGTGAATATTTGATATATGATACAGTGATTTATTACATAATAACTTATAGAATGGATTGTGTTGCTAACAGTTATTTTGGAGATCAGACTTCAAGAATTTCTCAATTAAATGTTGTTGATTGTAATAAGTTGTTTTACTTGTTTTACAAGCTATCATTGCTGTCAAGAATAATTCAAATTTGGACTGAAATAAACAACAACTTGAAAAGGTGCACTCTTGAACTCTTCATCAGAATTATGGCCCAAAACTATGGGTAAACCAAAGTGCAGTAAGTCTCAAAAAACTTTTCAGTCTGATGTCACACCTCATTGGTAGCAACACAAAACCATTCCACGAAAAATTATTAGTAATTATTTTTTTGGTACAATGTTATTGTCACATAACTAAAATAAAAGTCAAATGTCTGCTGCAACTTTATCATTTGTTTTTTCTTGCATTACCTTCTCATAATCCCTCACATCATCTATAGTCATGCCTACAATTCAATGAAAATTACTTCATTTTGTCAACAGCATTAACATGGAACATGATGATACTGCAGGCAATTACACAGTATGAACAAATGTCTTTTTAGTACAATATTGTCCCCTGCCCTGGAAAAATGGCACATCTTAGTTTGAGATTCAGGGGAGAAGGAGTTAAATTTCTAGTTTTATTGTAGGATTGAAGTCCCTAATTACAAATTCCAGAGTATAGTTTGGAACTGCATATGATTAATTAACAGCATTTTGGGGAACATTTTACAAGTTGCCCTTTTCTCATCAGTGAATCAAAACTTACCGATCCAGTCATCAATCCATGCAAATGCTTGTCTATGGCCTAGCAATAAAATGTCCTGTATAACCTAATGAGGGCCACAAAATTAATAACATTAGATGTTAATTTCTGAATGGATGGTTAAAAGAATGGGAGTTTCTTCCATTTAAATTTAGTTTTTCTTTTCATTTCAGCCACACTCGAGTGAAAATCTTTTTAACTTNCTCAATTAAATGTTGTTGATTGTAATAAGTTGTTTTACTTGTTTTAAAAACTATCATTGCTGTCAAGAATAATTCAAATTTGGACTGAAATAAACAACAACTTGAAAAGGTGCACCCTTGAACTCTTCATCAGAATTATGGCCCAAAACTATGGGCAAACCAAAGTGCAGTAAGTCTCAAAAAACTTTTTCAGTCTGATGTCACACCTCATTGGTAGCAACACAAAACCATTCCACAAAAAATTATTTGTAATTATTTTTTTGGTACAATGTTATTGTCACATAATTAAAATAAAAGTCAAATGTCTGCTGCAACTTTATCATTTGTTTTTTCTTGCATTACCTTCTCATAATCCCTCACATCATCTATAGTCATGCCTACAATTCAATGAAAATTACTTCATTTTGTCAACAGCATTAACATGGAACATGATGATACTGCAGGCAATTACACAGTATGAACAAATGTCTTTTTAGTACAATATTGTCCCCTGCCCTGGAAAAATGGCACATCTTAGTTTGAGATTCAGGGGAGAAGGAGTTAAATTTCTAGTTTTATTGTAGGATTGAAGTCCCTAATTACAAATTCCAGAGTATAGTTTGGAACTGCATATGATTAATTAACAGCATTTTGGGGAACATTTTACAAGTTGCCCTTTTCTCATCAGTGAATCAAAACTTACCGATCCAGTCATCAATCCATGCAAATGCTTGTCTATGGCCTAGCAATAAAATGTCCTGTATAACCTAATGAGGGCCACAAAATTAATAACATTAGATGTTAATTTCTGAATGGATGGTTAAAAGAATGGGAGTTTCTTCCATTTAAATTTAGTTTTTCTTTTCATTTCAGCCACACTCGAGTGAAAATCTTTTTAACTTACAACTGGAAAATTGAAAAGAGCAACAATAAAAGGCAAACAATTGCTAGGTTGAATAATATACCAGATTTGATTCGTTAGTCTTGTCTTAAAATATCTGTTAATGCTGTTATTCTCAAAGGTTACTGAAACTCATTTGTAAATAATGAACAAATGAGAATGTGTAGTTCCAGAAAATATCCATACCTCCCCCAAGCAAGGGATTTTTTCTAATACCTCCCCACCCCTCTGTAAATTCCAGTTAAGCTTCATACACTTAAATTTTTTGGTCTCATAGAACCCCCCACCCCCAAGGAAATTCCAATCCCCTCTTTGGGGGGAGTATGGATATTTTCTAGAATGCACAATGTAAAGTAATGTTACACTGTTTTCATCTGAATGGTCACAATCTAGGCTTTCCTCTCGATGGGTTGTTCCTTGAAGTTTCTGGTGGTGGTATGAGGCCCGAACCTTGAAACCTATACCCTAGCTATTTCAGACCAAAATCTGCAATTTTCCACACCCCATTTCACACTAACTAAAATAGGTGTAAAACTACAAATTTCAGTATTAGCAATGTTATTGCTTAATATGACATTTTAGGGTTTGATTCTACGACAGACGCTTTTCAAGAAGGAGAAACAATAAGTGTGTAAAGCACAATGCCTAATAAACTAAGGTAAAAGGTTTCTCCTAAAGTTAAAGTTCCAGTACTGTATGAGGAGGGCATTTCAGCAGTAGCTTCCACCAAGTCATCTACAAAGCCCAGTGGTTTTCTGTTAAGCTCACATACTATGTACTAATTTGTATTGACCATGCATGAAAGTATTTCACAAGATCAGTACTGAGATTTTATCTTTCAATGCCACAAAGTGAAAAAAAAATGAATATTAATAACGAACATACCCATAATGATAATGGTCATTCACATAACCCTATAATGCACTTTCTTAAAATCCTGTATACTTTTTGTCCAAGAATATTTCTTCAAATTATCAGGTTCGTGTACATATGATGCTAGCTACATTCACATGTCCATCACCGCCTTACTTTAATATTGTTATACAGGGTTGTATTGAAGCTCACCTTGTGAACATATGATTCTACTCTTGAGGCTAACGCCCAAACATCAAATGAAACAGAGACTAGCTTGTATGAGCACATGATGGGTTGTGTGTCATCCTGAAATTATTATAC